TCCAAAAAATTTAGAAAAAATTCTGAAAATCCAGAAAGAATCCCGCAAAAATCTCGAAAAAACTTTCAAATCCGGAAGACCTGGCAACACTAGCTACTCACCCAATATTTTTGGAAATAGGATTTTATAAGTTACTACCCCCGTTCCCAAGTTTTGGTTGCTTGCGACACCCCTGGTAATGGTGTTGGCATAAAAGAAAAATAGACAGGCCTTTCCAGGCAGGCCAGGCAGGCCGAAGAAAATGCCAGGCAGGCAGGCAGGCAGGCAGGCCAGGCCAAACAAATAAGTTGGCAGGCACAGACAGGCTTGGAATTCAGAGGCCTGTCATAGGCCGACCAGGCCTGCAAAAATGCGGCCTGGTTGGACCTCTGATACACGTCGTCTATCAGCTTCACTTGTTTATTCATTAAATCATACACCATCTGTTGATAAAGGTATTATACAAATAACAGCTGGTTTTGTTTTTTTTGACGAATATCTTGTTCAAGGTTATTTAAGACAATTATTATCATCATTATCATGTTTACATGAAAAAGAAATTATTCATCGTGATATACATAATGTTAATATAATTTTAAAAGATTCAACAAAACAATCAATTAAATTAGGATGATGTTAATTTTGTTTATGATTCGAAATTTATGAAAAAACAATCATTATTACTTGATATGGAAGTTATTGCTAATATACGTGAATCAATTGCTTTTTTTATGCCCCTGAAATTATAACATAGAATGAAAAAACAATTATATCTGATATATGGCCATTATATTGTACACTTGTTCATATATTAACAGGTCGTATACCATAGAGTAATCCATCAATAGCATCAAGTGTTTATTATCGGCAAGTTATTAATTGGGTTGCTAGTGGTGTACAACGAACAATTCCAACTGATTTAAGTTTAACAAATGAATGTATTGATTTTCTTGAGCAATACTTCCGACATGATCCTAACCTACGATGATCATCACTTGAACTTCTTGAACATCCATCTGTTAAAGAAATATAAAAGATTTTTTATTTTATGATTTGTAAATAGATTGATTTCTTCTTTTAGAATTGGTAATAAAAACAAAAAGAATTATTTTCATGTTCAATTTTCTTAATGTTTTGTTTCATGTACTTAAAGCTTTATTAAATAATAATAAAAATTCTTATGATCGAGATGAAAGAAATATATCGCTGCTATTAAAGACAAATCTTTCATTTACGGCAACTATTTCAGTAAAAGAAAAACTCATATTCCGGCTACTTTGTTTTCGATACAACTTGTAACGTTTGACAAAAGTCCATCAATAATCAATTTTATTTTTTTAAGAAAATAGAAATATATACGTTCTATAAAAAATATGTGCAATCATCAACAATAGGTTATATTTTATAACGGTAGAAAATCTTTTAAACAGATTCAAATTCTTTTAAACATTGTGTATATTTATCTTTAAACGCTCGTCCTGATGATTTTATTGTTGATAAAACTTTTTCAACATCAGTTATTGTTATCGAATCAAGTTGAATACATTTGCCTAATTCAGGATCTAAAATAAATTCGAAAAGAATTTTCATTACAATCAAAAAACAACATCACTTAATACCATCTTGAAGAGTTTCAAGTATATCAAATACTTGTCTTAATGGATTCATTGCGGCTTCTTTACATACAAGTTTGATGTCCGCACCAGAATAACCCTCTCTAGACCAGAAAAAACAAATTTCTTAAATATGAATCAATTTCTAATCATACGAACATTGCTTAATCGCGCATAATCAAGATCAGAATATAAAACAACACCTTTATTTTCACGAATAACAGTTGGTGGTAAAAATTGTTGAAACATAGTTTCTTGGGCTTCTTTTGTTGATAGATCAACTAAAACACGTTTTTCGAAACGTCTTAACATAGCATGATCAAGTTCCCTAAAACATTCATCATTAAAAAAACTATATAAATATATTTAAAAAAATCCTAACCAAGGTAAATTTGATGCAGCAAGAAGAAAAACAAGATCATTCGTTCCACCTAATCCATCAAGTTGAACAAGTAATTCAGTTTTCATCCTTCGACTACTCTCATGTTCACTATGAAAGCAAAAAGAAAATTTTTTTCCAATAGATATAAAAAAAATTGCATTCCTTTTTTACGTACGATCCTGCATTATCACCACTGCCACGTTGACTCATTATTGCATCAAGTTTATCCAAAAAAATTGTTGATGAAACACGAAATCGTGCTACTTCAAATAAAACGCGCACAAGGTTTTCCGAATCATTAAGCCATTCGATAGCAATAGTTAATGCTGATATATTAAAAAATGTTTTTTTTCATTCAGTTACTACTGCTTTAGCAAATACAGATTTTTCTGTACCAAGTAGACCATATAACAGTAAGGCTTTCCATGATTTTTAGTATACCAGTAAATAATTGTGCATATTAATCAAACAAAAATGATAGTTTTTTTTTGTTTTTTTCCTTTAGTATTTATTTGTACTCGTATTGGATAAACAACTCCTTCTTTTATAGTACGTTTAGCTGCATCAGATCCAATAAGAGAATCCCAATGTACACTTGGATCATGAAGATAGATATCCTTGAAAAAAAAAATTTTATTTCAATATGTGTTTGTAGAGAATTCTCACATTTGTATGCTTCTCTATTTAAAAAGAAAATCACAAGGATGTCAACAAACATTTATTAAGAAAGGATAATGAAAAATAAAATGAATAAAATATTAGTTGCAATGGTACTCATATGTTGGTTTCATTTTCACAAGTCTTTTGTTATGCGCTATTTTTATTCTTTGGTATAAAATTTAATAAAATAACAATGCAGAAGTACTTTAGAATACTGATAGAACTTCAAATTCTATTTATCAATTTGATCGAAACAGTTCCAAAGAAGTCAAGCAGGACTCCGCGTGAGATGGGACAGTCTCATCCTATTAGCTCCATGGAATGCAATACTTTCGAAAGACGTCACATAGAATGAATAAAACAGAAAAATTTCGAAGAAGGTTCCATTCCATTCCGTTCCATTATATGAAACAAACATCTTTTATATAAAGCTATTTTTTGTTAAGAACAATACAACCATTTTGATACAGATGTCATTCTCGCTTATTCGAGCGAAACAATCTAGGAAGAAATCATATTTTTCTACTCTATAGATTGTTAAGCAAATTGATAAGTGTGTTAAAGAAGTGTACTTTTTCAAGGACATCCTTCCTTCTTTTTTGACCAAAAACTCGATTTCGAGCTAGCCCTAAGGTATGCTAACCACAAGTGTCATGTATAGTTAGGAATATCATTCGACTCTAAATATCGTACTGTGACAGAGATATTGAAATTTAAGAAATTTTTTTTAATAGTAATCACAGCGAAATTCTTTTTTTCTACTCAGGATATTCCAAACATGAGTTTTTCAATCTGCTCTGCTTGCGACCTCTCACTAACTTTATCCGATTGGGCTGAAATTTGTATCACAGATACTTGTAGGTATTCTCTAGAGGTGAAATCAGCCGTTTTTATTCTCAACGTTTCTATCCGGATTTATGGGATCCTGAAAGCCCAATTCCTGACTTTAGCTCCGAGCCTTTACGCATTTCTCTCATAGAAAAAAGGAAAGTTAAAATTTTCGAAAAAAGCTCAACTTTACTTCTGAGATATAGTCTAAGATAGCTCCAAAAAATTTTCAGCTCAATCGGACAAACTTTAATGGGGGTCGTGGTATGAGTAGGTGCGATCCTTTGGAAAGCAAGGAATGTCCCATAAAACCTATCCAAACCTTCTTTAAATGTTTTTCCTCGAACACGTGTCTCGTTATTTTAGGTGCTCTATATATGGTAAAAACGTCAGACCGATCGGTTCTACCTTCTTCGAGAACCACACAGGGATAAAAAAGAGAAGGGTACCCTTAAGAGATATTTGACGAGTAACAAGTACTATGGGATGGAGTACGAAACTTTCGATAATTGTATCAAAGGGCGAAAATTATTTCATAGCTATCTCATCCCATGATCCCATGATCCCATGGGACATGTCGAGACGGTTTGTTCCATCAGGCGACTTTTTTGGTTCCATCTAACGCCACGTGGAACTATAATCTCAACACAATCACATATCACAAATAGAAATGAACATGAGAATGCTTAAATACGCGATCAGTATTTTTTCATGTAAAATATCACTCTTTAAAAACGATCATTTTTCTAGAATCTATTTTTCGAAAGCTTAGACATTGCGACTTAGTTCAATGAATGCAATAAGAAACTGTTAAGATATTTAATAAATGAATTACATAACTATCACATAATACGGAATTGATAGACTTATTCAGGTGGTGTAATTGTCGAAAAATGGACAATGTCGGGATAGAAGTCTTGTTTTTTTGGGAGACTTCTAGCTCTTCTTAGCCTCACTGGCGTGACTCAGTGCTATGCCCAACGATGGAACATACACGATAGCAATATCGATGAAAGTTTGAGTTCATCGGATTAAAACTCTTTGTAGCGCACATAAAGTACGACACTACCAATTTTCGGGTTTACTTACAGTCTAGTAATCACTTGTGTTCAACTCCATCTCCATATCAACCAAAATAATTTTTATACCATGAAGCTATTGGGGGTAATCATTGTTTTGTAAGTTTCTGCCTCAAAATATTTTCGTTACATTGGTCAGAGAAATGATTTGAAAGAAAATAGTGATTAATGAGAAAACTATTCAAGATGTGATTTCTTTGCTTTCTCTTTCATTTCTAAAAACTATATGTCAGGATGAGATGGGCTGTTTATACATGTATTTATTTCAATGCTTGAACTTTGACCGAGAGCTGAACTACGAAAACATCTGGTTGAATGGACTCATACATACAATGTTACATATGTACTGCCGCATTTTTTTATATGAATTTCTCTTCCCCGGAAAAGAAAAATACGTATAACATTTTTCCTTCCAAGTCGATCGACATTGACCCCTCACTCTGTACACATATGCATACACGTGATGTTCTACTTTCATTTCAGATCAATTGTAATATAATACGTTCGCCTGCTTGACCGCTTTTTTTCTCCTCTTTCCTCTTTTCTTTCTTTCCTGTTTCTTAGCTACCCTCCTTCCTTTATCACAAACGGAAAGGTCATTTCATATTCTTATAATAAAAAAGACCACACATTTCCATTCCATGGCAATACAACACGAGGTTTCTTTATGTTTTGTTAAAACTTTAAATGAATTTCATTTTACTTCTAGAATCGAGTAGAAGCTAAATCTCGGGGACTGATCAAATGTCTCATTGATATTATTGTTGGTTCTCACTCAGTTAATTTTTATCATGTCCAGAAAATCTTACTTTCCATTATCAAGCTTTGCGATTTTGATTATGAGGTAAATTATTTTTCTCGAGCACTTATATCTTACTTATTGTTTCGTTACAGGAGTGCGATGCTTCGTTCACGCTAATCGCCGGTGCAGATGGAGCACTAGGGGAAATCCAAGTCACCGACAAAAATGATTTTTTGGAAAAAATATTTCAGGTAAGAATTAACTTTTTCCTTCTTATTTACTAAGTAGTATATCTTCATCATTCTAGATAGAAAAGATACGTGAAGGTATCTATTAATACGTCCAATAAAGTAAGTCCATTTACGAATTTTTTGCGACAACTAATAACATTTTTTTAAATTTTAGATATTCCTGTGGTGTGTTGTGATAGTGTGGTGCTGTGTGTTGTGATGGTGCGGTGCTGTGTGTTGCGATCGTGTGGTGATGTATGTTGTGATGTAAGGTAGTATCGTGGTGTATGTTGATGAGAGATAGTATGATATATGCGATGTTATTATTTATTATATGCTATGATGAAATGCTTCAAAATAATATGAACAAAACATCATCACAAACAGGTATGTGAATTTATTTACATCGAAAAAAAATTTGTTGGTTTTTCTTTTAATTAAAGCTTAGCTGTAATGATTGTATATTCACTAAAACTTTGGAGATATTCATTGATAATGATAGTTATGTGTTAAAATATCATGGAAAAAGCCTTGTTAGTCAATTAGCTATTTCTCAGAAATAGGATATTTATAAAAGACAATCAATATTATAAAACTGTTGTTTGTGATACTGATAAAGGTAAAATAAGAATTGAATCATTTAGTTTTGAATTGTTTGCACTTTTCTAGGTTGTAATGAAGCAAAAGAGGCAACATTGAAATGTATGTTGTTCGATGAAAATAGTTACGTTGTCAATATTAAAGAAAAGACATTGAAATCATTTTACAAATTGGATAATACAGTTCATGGATGTGATGATAAAGAAAAAAAAAGATTATTATGAAGCATAAAATAGGAAAAAAATGTCCAAGAAATTTAAATTTATTCAAATTGAAGTTAATACAGGTAATTCATAGGAAAAAATTTTCTTATTGAAGAAAACAAAATCATTTATTGTTTAGGTATGGAAAATGGAAAGAATTTAGATGGATATTATGATGAAGAGGATCGACAGTTCAACATGGAAATATAAAATATCAATTGTCGAACACATGGTCTAAATTAAAGTCGTTTTAATGAACATATCTTGTTGAATTTTTTTTTTCTAATATATTGTAACAGTAATAAAATAACATCGTAAAAAGACAAACAAACAAAAAAGAATTGAATACAGAACAAAGAAGAGAAAAAGGAAAGATCGTTAAGAAGCAATATCGGCTCTCTATCAGAGATCTATTTTTCTTGCTCATTTTATCACTTCCACTTTCCGAGGTTTATTTCTCTCAAAATTAGACCGTTTCATGTAGTCCACACTATACACAAGTCGCTTTACTACCACTATTTCGTCCATATAATATGATAAAAAACGTAGTAAGGTGCCAGGAAGTTTTCTCGTTGAATTTCACACTTATTCATTCATATATTTAGTTGATTTGTGTATCAACTTCAAGCTTTTCAACTTCTCAATCGAAGGGCATATAAACATGCATGAGAAGATTGTTTCTTAACTTTCTTTCTATCTAAATTGATTCCTATCTTATACCATATATAGACCAGCATAAAAAACAATTGATTGGCGTATATTAGCAATAACTTCCATATCAAGTAATAATGTTTGTTTTTTCATAAATTTCGAATCATAAACAAAATTAACATCATCCTAATTTTTGATTGTTTTCCTGAATCTTTTAAAAAAATATTAACATTACGTATATCACGATAAATAATTTCTTTTTCATGTAAACATGATAATGATGATAATAATTGTCTTAAATAACCTTGAACAAGATACTCGTCAAAAAAACAAAAGCAACTCATATTTGTATAATACCTTATATTGAAAAAAGTAAATTGAAAAATTTAGGAATATGAATTCAGATTTGGATTCTAGTATTCCGGTCTGGTTTCTTTAGCGACGATAAATAATCATTTTGTTACTTTAATCAGATGGGTACGGCTGCGAGTGTGGGTGTGTTAGTGTGGACGGATGTGGATGTGAGAATGGCTTTCTTCACATACACTGACATCCCACCCTCTGAGAATTTTACATCAACGTCATAGGATGGAATCTGATGGGTGTACTCGGTCTATAGCTGTAAAGTAAAGCCTTCAACACATTAGCTGATCCGAGGTCTTCTATTCTGTCTTGTTGTTCGCAAGTTATAAAAGGATATTCTATTAGATCTGTTAAAAAAAGTCAACGTTTTTGGTGATCTCAATGATAAATCTTAATTTCAACCATTTTTTGTCCAATACACTGTAAGAAAAAGAGTTAATTTTACTTATCCGGCGCGCGTACAATGAGAAACATGCGAATAATGTTTTGATGCAAAAAAAAATAGAAAACAAACATTTGTTCGAAGAATGGTCTTGAAAAAATATACACAACATACCCTAAA